TCTGTCTGGCGAGCGCACGTGCCCTATAGCAAAAACCTCTCCAAAAAAAAAAAAAAAGAAAGAAACATATACATATATGTATGTATTTGTATAAAAGACATTTTTAGTACTACTCTTTATGTACGTACACTCATCTGTATATATATTACTCAAACATATATATGTATATATATAACTTTACTAGTGATTAGCTTTAAATTAAATGTGTACTGAGTTATATCATTTGGCCTATCATATTGGAAAAAAATAGAAGTAACTGGTAATGTGGAAGTGTTAATGTGTTCACCCTCTTCTGAGTTTCAATTTGGTGATATATATATATATATATAGAGAGAGATTTTTGCTATAGGGCGTGTGTGCTCGCCAGACAGACAGAGAGAGACAGAGAGATAGAAAGCAAGAAATCACTCCCCAGGAGGGATGGCCATGCCGCAATCCCTTCTCCTCCATTCTCCTCTTGGGATCTTGGGCACGCACGCACATGCGCCTGGCGTGAGTTTTAAACCACCGGGACCGGGACTCGAACCGTGGTCGACTACATGGGAGTCCAGTGACATAGCCATTACACTAACTGCTGGTTCCCCTTTGGTGATATATTTTTGAATGTTTTGGAAAAGTTCATACCCTTTGACCCAGGAACTTCAATCATGGGGATTTACCTTCATCAAGTAGAAGAGCATGCATAGATGGATGTACAAGAACGCTTTTCGCAAAGCCAGCATATGGCATACCTGTTACATTGCTGGACTCTTGTGGCTGACCACGTGGATTGAAAGTCCCAGACCTGATGGCCTGACTCTCCTGCCAGCATGTGTGTATGAGTGCCAAAGATCCCAGCAGGAGAATGGAGGAGAAGGGATTGTGTCTTGGCCATCCTCCCTGGGGGGGTGATTACTCCCCTTCCCCAGCACTTGCTCAATAAGGCAAAAATCTTTTTTAAAAAATGCTTCTTGCAGCATTGCACACAGCCTAGATTATTTGAACCAATTAGGTTTTCTAACAAGGGGGTGGTAAATCCATTTTGTTCTACCCATTCAAAGGAATACTATGTAATCAAAGAGAAAGATGAGGAAAATCTACATTTAGTGATATAGAAAGATGTGCACCTATATTATTAAATTAAAAGAGCAGGTTACAGGGCTTTAGGTATAAAATAATTTTATTTTCTAAATAAATATATTATTATGACTAATTTGATAATGATATGCTAAATGTTTATAATGATTATCTCTGAATGGAGAACTTGTGGGTGATGTTTATTTTTATCTTTTGTACTTTCTAACTTTTTAATAAGCAATCTTTTTACTGTACTAGCAAAAAGGCTATTTAAAGATTAAAAACTGAATACATGGATTATCTTCCTTATAGCAATCCAGAGGAAGAGGACTGGTGTCAGATTTTTTTTTTAAGAGTTATTTTTATTTAATTATATTCATTGTCGTTATTTTCTTTTGTTTTTTTGAAGTTGACCAGAGAGTGAAAGAAAGTGAGAAAGCAAGCTGCCAGGTCTAGGACTTGAACTATGATCAGGCATGTGGGAGTCCAGCCGCCTTAACCACCATGCCACCTGCTGGACTCCTTTTTTCAGATTTAAGTAAGCAGAGACAAAGATCTGCATTCACTAAGGAAGACATTTGCATATGAGCCAACCCTCTTTCTTACATGAAATATGTAATTAACTTCATTACATAAATTTTTATTTGTTGTTGGTACAGTATGAAAATACTCTACTTCATCTCTATGGTTTTTCCAAACCCATTTCCTCAGAATTAGATTTTAAAATCTGTTTTCTTTTGGTTAGTTTATTTCTTGAAATTGGCATTCAGCAGTTCTCTCACTTTGTACCAGCTAATCTGGAACAACTATAAATTTGTTAAGGGAACAGAAACTTCTTAACTCATACTTACATTTTATTTGTTTTCTCTATCCATTGATGTTTTTTGTTTTTTAACTCTTCATTGCCCATTCTCTCTTTCTACCTTACAGATATCCTTCCTCCTTGAAATGATTTATCACTCTTGAGAGGCAATAGTTACAGATATAGCTTGCCTGTGTTTAAAGCCCAACTATGACATTTGTTAGCTTTTTTACTTAAAGCATGTTACTTTCTCTGAGATTCGGTTTCCTGTTCTGTATTTTGTAAACCTTTGTCTACCCTATGAGGTTATGAGGCTTAAATGAGCTAATAGATGCTGGTCTCTTAGAACAGTGCCTGGCACATGGCAGTCATATAGAAACAATGGCTATTACTGTTTTCATTGTACTTTCCTTCCTAAGCCCGTCTCTGACCCCACTCAGTCTTACCCGACCTCCGCCTGTATTAATCACAGTACCTCGTAAGGCAGTAAGCAGTGCCATGATGTTTGTTAAGGTGAGAGGACCGGAGTTTCACATACAGGTCTGCTTCCCCATGAACACACGTCTCAGGGCACCCTGCACATCAGGGTTTCTAAGGCTGTAGATGAGTGGGTTCAGCATAGGGCTGATGACAGTGTTGAGGATGCCAATTCCCTTGTCCTTGTCTGAAGAATCCCCTGAACCCAGCCTCATGTAGCTGAAGACACCTGTCCCATAGAAGATGCCCACCACAGTGAGGTGGGAGCTACATGTGGAGAAGGCCTTCTTCCTGCCCTCAGCAGAGCGGATTCGTAGAACTGCAGCTGCCAGTTTATAATGATTATCTCTGAATGGAGAACTTGTGGGTGATGTTTATTTTTATCTTTTGTACTTTCTAACTTTTTAATAAGCAATCTTTTTACTGTACTAGCAAAAAGGCTATTTAAAGATTAAAAACTGAATACATGGATTATCTTCCTTATAGCAATCCAGAGGAAGAGGACTGGTGTCAGATTTTTTTTTTAAGAGTTATTTTTATTTAATTATATTCATTGTCGTTATTTTCTTTTGTTTTTTTGAAGTTGACCAGAGAGTGAAAGAAAGTGAGAAAGCAAGCTGCCAGGTCTAGGACTTGAACTATGATCAGGCATGTGGGAGTCCAGCCGCCTTAACCACCATGCCACCTGCTGGACTCCTTTTTTCAGATTTAAGTAAGCAGAGACAAAGATCTGCATTCACTAAGGAAGACATTTGCATATGAGCCAACCCTCTTTCTTACATGAAATATGTAATTAACTTCATTACATAAATTTTTATTTGTTGTTGGTACAGTATGAAAATACTCTACTTCATCTCTATGGTTTTTCCAAACCCATTTCCTCAGAATTAGATTTTAAAATCTGTTTTCTTTTGGTTAGTTTATTTCTTGAAATTGGCATTCAGCAGTTCTCTCACTTTGTACCAGCTAATCTGGAACAACTATAAATTTGTTAAGGGAACAGAAACTTCTTAACTCATACTTACATTTTATTTGTTTTCTCTATCCATTGATGTTTTTTGTTTTTTAACTCTTCATTGCCCATTCTCTCTTTCTACCTTACAGATATCCTTCCTCCTTGAAATGATTTATCACTCTTGAGAGGCAATAGTTACAGATATAGCTTGCCTGTGTTTAAAGCCCAACTATGACATTTGTTAGCTTTTTTACTTAAAGCATGTTACTTTCTCTGAGATTCGGTTTCCTGTTCTGTATTTTGTAAACCTTTGTCTACCCTATGAGGTTATGAGGCTTAAATGAGCTAATAGATGCTGGTCTCTTAGAACAGTGCCTGGCACATGGCAGTCATATAGAAACAATGGCTATTACTGTTTTCATTGTACTTTCCTTCCTAAGCCCGTCTCTGACCCCACTCAGTCTTACCCGACCTCCGCCTGTATTAATCACAGTACCTCGTAAGGCAGTAAGCAGTGCCATGATGTTTGTTAAGGTGAGAGGACCGGAGTTTCACATACAGGTCTGCTTCCCCATGAACACACGTCTCAGGGCACCCTGCACATCAGGGTTTCTAAGGCTGTAGATGAGTGGGTTCAGCATAGGGCTGATGACAGTGTTGAGGATGCCAATTCCCTTGTCCTTGTCTGAAGAATCCCCTGAACCCAGCCTCATGTAGCTGAAGACACCTGTCCCATAGAAGATGCCCACCACAGTGAGGTGGGAGCTACATGTGGAGAAGGCCTTCTTCCTGCCCTCAGCAGAGCGGATTCGTAGAACTGCAGCTGCCACATGAGCATAGGACACAGTGATGAGGATCAAGGGGGCCACGCCCATGAAGACTGCTGCTACAAAGAGCAACTGCTCGTTGAGTTGGGTGCTGGAGCAGGAGAGCTGGAAGAGCTGTGGGAGGTCACAGTAGAAGTGATTGATCACGTTGGGGCCACAGAATTTAAGAGTAGACACAGCAACAGTTTGGGTCAGTGCATTGGTGAAGGAAAAGACACATGACATGGCTGTCAGGGCTTGCTGGATTCTTTGGCTCATGCGGGTGCTGTAGGTAAGGGGTTGGCAGATGGCCAGATAGCGGTCATAGGCCATGACGGTCAGCAAGAAGCAGTCTGCCCCAGCCAAGAGGTGGAAGAAAAAGAGCTGTGAGAGGCAAGCCCTATAGGAAATGTTTCTGTCATTGGATATGAGATGCTTCAACATGGCAGGGACAGTGACACTGATGCATGCAACATCTAACAGGGACAAATTTCCCAGGAAGAAGTACATGGGGGTGTGGAGTTTGGGTTCTATGAGGATGGCAGCTAGGATGCTGAAATTGCCACCGACAGTAGCTAAATAAGCAAGAAGAAAGATAATGAAGACAATGGGCTGTAGAACTGGAGTCTCCGTTAGGCCCAGCAGGACAAAAGTGGTCACAGATGAATCATTTCCTGAAGTTCCCCCATCCATGGCTCTCTTGCACCAGCAGAAGAATGAACAAAGTTAAAAAGTGCCAATGATGGTAAAAGGAGAATGAGATCTTTATAAAGACCACCAATGAGCTCTTGATAGCAGTGTCCAAGAGAGGGGTTGGGATGTAAGGATGCTTAAAAATTAACAAAAAGTTAAAGATTTAGACACAATAGAAAAGGAACTGGTAAATCTGATTTTGAATGGGCTAAAACAATGGCATTAGATAGACTCAAACAGAGCTAGATGGATTGATTTGAAAAGGAGAACAAGTGTAAATTCTGAAAGTTAAATGGAAAAATTATTTTCCTGAGGCCAAAGTTCTAGGTAGGAAACCACAAATCTGCAAATGGTGCCATGGCCACAGCTTGGGTACCTAAGATCCTGGAGCGTGAAAGAAAAGTTCCAGGGGTGAAACGAGTTTCACGAGTTTTCAGTGTGTGTCCCTATAAACCTTTACATATACACATGCTATTAGAGGCAATAGTGAAATGACTATTAAGAGATTAACTTATGAAGCCATGAGACTTGGTACAGATTTTTGCAAAAAAAGGTGAAATGAAATTAAATGCAGTGAAACGAAATGAAGAATCATTGAGAACACTTCCAGCTCCACAGGTGGTGACTACCAGCCTTTTAGATTTTCTAAACAGTAAGATTATATTCCATTTCTCCACATAGAGTTGAAGAAACTGGCTCCAAAGCACTGAACTTTAACTGAGTAAGGAAAATGTTAAAAGAGCCTTTGAACAGATAAAAATGTCAAGGCTTAAGCTCCCCAGGTGGGTTGAGTTGTTCCCTGGTAGAGCTGCCTCACTGGGTACCCAACTGAATGCTCACTCAGCCCAAGTGATGGGCAAGCAGACACCCAGATCCTGATTCCTCTCTGCCTCCAATTCTACCGTTACTTAGCCTTTCACTCCATCTCCTATTTCTAATTACATGTCATCTAAGATGCAAACGAAGATGGGTGTGATGACCAGGCAAAACCAAAGCCTTTAACAGTTCTGTGAATGGCCACGCACATGATCACTTAGAGAATGCCTTCCTTCCTCCTGCCCTGAAGTGCTCACACTGATAAAGCACACAGTGATCTACCTCAACCTCCGACTTCTAAATATTTAAGTCACTCGCATGGAGTCTAATTGAAATAGGAAAATGCTGGAGTTGGAGAGCCCATGGAGGCATGAGAAGGCATTTCCTGATGATTACATGTTAAGAATAACACCTGCAGGTCCACAACAGGTCGACCACTATCTAATGGTCTGGCTCTTTCTGCAGGGAACATGTTCCCACCTTTCCTTCACACCTAGCCTCTCCAAACACAAACTTCCCTTCTTCAATCTCAAACCTCTTTTGACTTAACTATGTTAGTAAGAGCTTTGTCATCCTCCCAATTAGTGTGACTGGAAAACTTAGTCATCGCTGACTCCTCCCTTTCTCTAAGTTCTCACATTCAATCACCCAAGTCCCACTATATCATTTTTGGGGAGAAGAGACAAGTCATTCCAGGGCCCAGAAGATGAACTTCATTTGCATAAAAAACAAGCTATAAGAGAGAAGTGTGTGTGTGTGTGTGTGGGGGGGGGTCTTGGAATGCCACTCACCTGGTTAAGGAAATGACCACTTCTTGGGCATAGAGGAAGGATAGTCATGCCTGACCAGGGATCCTACAGAAGGGATGGCTTATAAAGGACAGACAAAGAGATAAACAATTCAACTGACATCATTTTCACCCTGGGATTTTTCTCCTCCCCATTTTTCTCCTCCTCCCTGGAGGCCTCAGAAATCAGTGTCTTCCGTGGGGAGCCAGAGCCTGCTAACCACCTGCCTTTACCAAAGATGTGCTCCCGGTGCCTTTGAAATGTTTGAGACTTTCTCTTTGTAGGTATGTGACTTTACAGGTGTGGCAAAATGCATTCATTTATTTAACAAAAATGTTTCTGAACACTTGCTATGAACCAGCCCTCTTCTTTAACATTTTACCAGTTAAAGTGAATCTCAGGAAGTCTGTTTTTCTCCCTTTCTTCTTCAGAGATAGAAATACCCTCACAGGATCCTGAAGCCACAGTCCACCCCCAGCTTTATCCAGCCCACAATGTCCAGTGTACACACGGAGGTCTCAGGATACAAATTGGCAACCTTCCCATGTGGGCCTATCTCACAAAGCTTCACGTTTTATTGCTGTGCTGCCATCCTGCCCCAATCTCATATAGTCTTAAAGTTCAGAGTCAAATGCTGGAGATAGATATGGGATTTGGGAATTTGGGACTTTTGGTTTAATCCAGCCCATCATCTTGGGAGGGAAAGGGAAAGGAAAAGGAAGGGAGCAATAACTTGCGACTCTCCAACCTTGCTTGCAGCATTGTGCTGGGAGGAGGGTGAAACCTAGGGCAAGAGTTGCTCCCATTTCGTCCCTAGAGCAGTGTCCTCTGCATCATCTCGCAGATCATCTCTCACACACATACACACATACATTATCATGTAGTGAACACACATGTAATCATTTATTTTTGTTTACAGAAAGCTATATTAATTAAAATTTTATTTTTGATTAAAAAACCTATATTTTGAGCTTTGTGTAATGTTTTACTCTTTAACATTTTGAGAGTTCATATGGGTTCCAGCCCACTTAACTTCTAGGCTATGGAGCCAGCCCTTTAAAACCACATTTTATAACTCTTTTAACAACTTTCTATAACTGTTTTCTTCCCTCTTTATCCAGCTGCTTCAAAAAAGCAATTGCTGGGACCAGCAGTTAGCATAATGGCTATGTCGCTGGACTCCCATGTAGTCGACTGCAGTTCGAGTCCTGGACCCGGTGGCTTAAACTCACGCTGGGCGGGTGTGCGTGCGTGCCCAAGATCCCGAGAGGAGAATGGAGGCGAAGGGATTTCGGCATGGCCTTCCCCCCTGGGGGTGATTTCTTGCTTTCTGTCTCTCTGTCTCCCTCTGTCTGTCTGGCGAGCGCACGCACCCTATAGCAAAAACCTCTCAAAAAAAAAAAAAAAGCAATTGCTGCCTCATCACCCAGCCATTGTGATTGTGATTCTCTCTCCCCTCAGACTCTGATGTTTGTGCCAGCCTTCCTCTGCTCATGATGCATCCTAGATGCTCCCATATACAGGAGGGAGGGTAGCCAACTGGAACACGGTTAGTGTCCATATTTACAGCTTCTGATGCCTGTCATTAGTCTTCTCAAAAAGCCTGTTATCTGGGTAGTGTGGAGGTTGAGGTAGCTTGATTTCACGTGGCTGACTTTGCTGTTCAAGTCCCTGACCTGGCCGTCTGAAAATTACACCAGGCACATGTGCATGCAGGCCCCAAATTCTGAGAATGGAGAAGGGGTTATGGCACAGCCATTTACTCTGGGGGGGATTTCTCACTTTTCCTCGCTCTCTCTCTCTCTCTTTCTCTCTCTCTCTTTCATGTGTAAGCAAACACACCCATAGCACAACTGGAAGGAAAAAAAATGTCTAGTATCTGTCAGGTAGTGGACAAGCCTGGGGTTCCACATTCAAGTCATACTCACTTTGGTAAGCCCAGTGTTCAGTCTTGGACTCTAATTTCAGCTAAAAGCTGTTACCACCCACAGTGCAACTTTCTGTGTCACTAGGCTGCCCCTGCCCATCATGACATATCTTCAAGGTATGATAATCAAGGCAGTGTAATATTTGAGCAAAATTAGACTGTTAAAGTAAAATAAGCTAGAGGGCCTAGAAATATGTGGAAATCTGGTGTATGGCATGGGTGTCCAACAGAACTGTAGAAAAAAGACAGGCTTTTCAATAAGTAGTGCTGAAGCAACCAAGGATCCATCAAAATGCCTTTCTTATTTCACATACAAAAATCAATTTCAGGTGGATGAGATATGTTTATTAAAGAATAGAAATGTAAAACACTGAATATAGTCTATGAATATCTTTATAACCTTTTAAGAGATAAATAAATAGTCCAAAGAGTATTAATCATTTTTTTAAAGAGACTGATAAAGTTGCCTAGATTGAAATTTAAAACTTTGTCACAACTATTTTCAAAGTGAGAAGACAAGTTTTAAATTATTTGGTCGTCAGAAAAGTCATGACACATTTTTGCATAGAAAAATACGTCGTGACTTTCCAGACAACCTAATGTTTTAGCACATATGACTATTCTGAAGCATACAAAATATATTAAAACCTCTTTAACCAATGAAACAAAGACAATGAACCCAATAAAGATTAGTTATAAGACACAAACAGGGAATTCACAGTAAAGAAAATGAAAATAGCCAACGTATTTAGGAAATGAAGTTCACTCCATCTGGAATGTAGCAAATATGAATTAAATCACAATGGAAACACTGTTTTATACTCACTATATCAACCCAGTTGAAGAATGAGAAAAATATCAAGTTTTGATGAGAATACAGAGCAACGGAAAACTTTTTTTTGAGATTTTTTCCCTATAGGCACATGCACTTGCAAGAGAGACAGAGACAGAGAGACATAAAGTAAGAAATCACAACCAAGGAGGGATGGCCATGCTGCAGTCCCTTCTTCTCCATTATCCTCACGGGATCTTGGGCACACTCGACACGCGCCCAGCATGAGTTTTAAGCCACCGGGTCCAGGACTCTAACTGTGGTTGACTACGCTGGAGTCTAGCAACGTAATCATTACACCATATGCTGTTCCCAACAACAAAAAACTCTTACATACTTCTAGTGAGCTCATAACATTATACAGGTACATTGGACAACATCATAGCCAGAATAAAGTTTTCTAAGCAAATAAAATTTCCCAAAAGTGTTTATGAAGATATATTGTATAAAGTCTAACAAATTATGACTAGAAAATAGAAATATTGCTGTTAATACCCCTTTACTTTCCTGACCTCCCTGAAAAACCCTAGGTACATATGATTTCATAGGGTAGCTTTACCAATTATTTTAAAACAAACAAGGTTTAAGATGGTGGGTGTGGGGCCAACTGGTGGGGTGGTGGTTTAAGCAGCTGGAT